ACTTTAAGTGAAATATTATGAGAAAAAAACAGAACAATAAAAGTGAGAATACTTAAAAACAAGGCTCCTTATGTAGACCAATATTATATATAAATACAAGGGAATTTTAGACATAGATCTGTCCCTGTCTTAGCCAGGTTGTTATCTTTAATTCAGTTATCATTTAGAGTGAAATATAATAAAGGATGCTGAAAAGGGGACTCCCCTATGAGCTAGCCTCTTCGTATAAATCCACAGCAGTATCTGTGTCCACAGGGCCCCCTATCGTCTTTTTTCTTAATTTTTTTCATCATCTGCTTTTTAGCCAGTACTACAGCCATTCCATAGCCCCTCTGGGTAACCTGCCTGCAAGCACATTCGCGCTCTTAGATGTTAAGCTCACTCAGAAAGAATTATAATGATATATAAGTAATACGATGTTAAGAAGCTAAATTATCAGACTAAGTGAATCTTCCAGTATATTTTAAAACATTCTACTGAGACTCCAGTGGCTGTATTATAAATGTATATTAGTTTTATATACATATGTAAATACATGTATGGATTGGTACAGATCTCTTTAAAGAGATGGGAGTGGCTCTCATTTATCCACATAGGTATTATCCACTTTAGGTGTTTTTCATCCAAACTCATTTCTCCCGTTCTGGGTTTCCCTACTCAAGACTCTCAATCCTCTATTAGAGATGGGAGTGGCTCTCATTTATCCACATAGGTATTATCCACTTTAGGTGTTTTTCATCCAATCTCTTTCCTCCCGTTCTGGGTTCCCCTACACAAGACTCTCAATCCTCTATTGATCCCTTCTGTCTCTAGTCCAAGTTGATTCCTTTTTCCAGGCAACCTCTGTCCTTGATAACTTTCAGTGCAGTTAGGGAGTTTGTTGACAATGTATCAGGGTCTGTAACATTATTTGCTGAACCTCATGGGGAGTCATTTAATGAGGAGGAAGTTGACCAGGGTAAAGACAAAAGAATGGCAGTTAACGCTCAGAGTGACCATCTTAGGAGGTCTTGACATTGGCAGAGCAGGAGTGACAGATCTGTTGTGAGAAACTTTGGCTTATTCTATACACAAGACTCCTATTAAGAGAACATAGCCAGGGTAGGTTTATCTGTCGGTCAATAATTAATTAGGAAAGCTCTGAGGAAGACACAGCAGATGCAAGAAGTAAGGTATACAAGCAGGTTGGCTAGAAACGAGATCCCCTTCTTATCACAGCATCTTTGGTTCCATCCCCTGCTGGTGTTCTTAAAGAGAGTAATTGAACTAGTAACTTCTATAGGTAAGTTAATTTTTTTTTTAGAGTTTCTATGGGTAGTACCTCTCTACGTATAATGTGATCATATAATGCTATCATTTTTTAAGTGCCAACAATTGGTAACTCCTGACTTTATAAAATCCAGTGGTAAAGAATACAGATAGCTTTCCTCAGGTCTTTCAGTGCTTTTCTTTAAAGTGTCAAACTCAAGAAAGGACAAGGGCTGCACAGGTAGGATTAACTCCCACAAGGGAAAGGAAGTACATGATTTCTTATGCATCATTTTGGGATAAAGCCACAGGAAGAGGTCAGCCAAACCAGAAAGCCCAAGCTCTCTTGAAACTGTCGATCTCATGATTTAAATCAAGGCTCAGACTCCTGTGTAAGCCTGATGGAGCCTTGCTTTATTGGATCTTAGATGACTATTCCATTCTCTGTTAGCCGTCTATGAGTGAACTTCCCCAAAAAACTGTTTCATCCTAATTTCACAGTATCTCTAGTTGAGCCTCCATAGCAAGCATGTCCCGTCTTTTCAGCAGATGGCTTTTGTCAGCAGGGAGCCTAAAAGCCAATTGTCGTAAAAAATAACACAAGGATGGGGGAGGGGGAACTTGCTTTGACAAACATCTCCCAGTTTTCCTGTAGTGAAAAATTTCTCATCACATAAAAGTGTCTGCAACTGAACCGGAACTTTAATAAATGTTTATCCTTTAGAAGGATTCTTTCCAAGGATCATAGATTTTAAAGCTGGAAGGAACCCTAGCCATCCCCAGCAAATTGCAGAGGAGCGTATATGGTATAATTTGGAGAAAAGTGAGTCCAAAGAGAAATGCTTTGTGTCAGGTCACACAGTGGGTATTAGCAGTAGACCCGGGGTTAGACAGAGCCCAGGCCTCCTGCCTGCTGGCCCCTGTGATTCTGAGTCTCATTTCTCCCCTTCAGAGGCAACTGTATTTGGTTGTGATTCTGTGTGCTGTCATTGAAAAAAGTCACTGCTTTCACTGAATAAGTAATTACCATTTATTGAGTGGCTACTGTATACTTTCCTCTTTATTTATTTTTTTCATTTCAAACAAGCTTTTATTTTCAGTGTGAACAATACTGTTATCTCTAAAAGGTAAGAGTAAAGTCAGATGTCAGTTAATATCATTTTGGGGTGTTGAACTTTGAAACAAAATTGGTATTTTGGGCTAATGAAAACTAGAATATCCATGAAGAGCAAATGCGTCTTTTCTTTTGCTGTCCATTTCTTTTATGCCTTCCAACTGTATTCTCCAGTGCTGCCCTCTGCTGAGACCGTATCCATTTTAAGTCCTTCTTCTGGTTTTTCATTTCCATCCTCGTCATCAGCGTTTTCGTATTGATATTCACTCTCTTCTTTAGAACCATATGGACTTTGGGATCATAAGTTGGCGGAAAAAATATCCCAGTTTAAAATCAGCAGCAGAATCTAGTACGCTGCCCTCAGGAGGATCGTTCCCCTCTTCCTCTTGGTCCACATAATTCTCATCCTCTCCCTCATCTCTCCTTCTCCTTGTCCAACTCTCTCCTCCTCTTCTTTTGCCTCTTCCCACTCTCCTACCGGCTGTACATCCCAGCACTCCTTGACTATGGGCTGGGCGCCCTCCTGCCCACCCTCCTTTGCCCGAAGAGTTCGCACTACCACCTGGAAATCCCTAGGGGCTGCGTCTTGGCCGACCCTGGTACGCCATTCGGCAGGCACCACTCCTCCCCTGACTGATCCAGGGTCGTGGCCCATCCCACTACCTGCTCTCTTCTGACCACTGGTGGCTGGGCCTCGCTTCTCTGTGCCAGACGTGGCAGGAGAGATGCACCAGTCAGTGCCTCAACCAGAGAAGTGATCTGGCTGCTAGACCAAGTTGGCAAAGATTTTCCTCTTTTTTTTTCTAAAAAAAATCCTGTGAAATAAAACCTATTTTATAAATGAGGAAGGGAAGGCTTACAGAGTTTAAGAATTCATGCAAAGCCACACCATGACCAAGCCAGGATTCAAACCCAGGGCTGTATGTGTCTGGATCTGGTACCCTTTCCTGCTATGCTGACCTGTCTGTCTTTGTGTGATTTACTTTCTCAGTAACTACAGTATTGCAATCTGAAGAGACAGTCTTTTCGATATGACAATGGATATCAATAGCTCCTTTGTCTTTAAAAGTCTTTAGAGAAATTATCTAGAACAATACAGGAGTACCTAGTTGGAGATATTGCAGGTTCGGTTCCAGGCCACTGCAATAAAGCAAATATCACAATAAATCGAGTCACACGAATTTTTTGGTTTCCCAGGGCATATAGTAGTTATGTGTACACTATAGTGTAGCCTGTTAAGTGTCCAATAGTATTATGTCTAATAAAACTGTTCAGATCTTAATTTAAAAATACTTATATTGCTAAAAAATGCTAACCATCATCTGAGCCTTCATCGAGTCGTTATCGGTTTGCAATAGTAGCATCAAAGATCACTGATCACCATAACAAATATAATAATAATGAAAAATTTTGAAATACTGCAAGAATTACCAAAATGTGACACAGAGACATAAAGTGAGCAAACACTGTTGGAAAAATGGTGCCAACCTGCGACTTGGTCGACGCAGGGTTGCCACAGATCTTCAATTTGTAAAAAAATAAAAACAAAACCAAAATACCTGTGGAGCAAATTAAGTGAAGCATAATAAAATGAGGTCTGCCTGTTTTGGTTCATTTTATAATGAAGGCTTGGTGTTCATTAAGACAGTTTTAATAACTCTTTATATATACTTTATATACTGACCTGGAAAGATGTCCATGTTAAATTAAATGAAGAAAGTAAATAGCAAAACAGTGTATATAGTATAATCCTATTGATTGGTTGAACATGACAGATGCACTGTTGATATATGTGTATATAGATATATGTGCAAAGAGAATGTCTGGAAGGACACACACCAAACTCTTTAAAATGGTTCATGCTGATGAGTGGGATTGGGGGCCAGCTGGTTAAACAGAGAATTAGGGGACCATTTCTGTATCATTTTAATTTTTTTATAACCAAGGTATATTATTTTAAAAAACCAATTTTTAAAAAATTAAACTTTATAAACCCTTTACAACAATTTAACCTTTTTTAATAACTAGAAATTATAATCAGAGTCATTATCACTGCTCTAAACATATAAAGGGTAGTCAATCAGGGGATAGTATGGGTTTTTTTGTATTGTCATGAAAACATTTGTAAAGTACTGACAGCAAAGACCAGTGTTAATTCTCTCTTTCACCAGACCAAAAGTCCTAAAATTAATCTCGACCCCAAATGAAAGTCATTTGTAGCTTATGGAATATTATAAAATCATGGGGTTTAACTTTTTACCTTGAACTACAAATGCATCATTCATTCGCCACCTTTTCCCATCTTGTATTTGTTCTCCAGGTTTTTTTTTTACTTCTCAAGAGCCCTCCTCCATCACTGCATGTTTCTTTCATGTTTTTTGATAATAGCCTGTTTTTTCCTAGACATCTAATAGATATTTTTTCTTTAGGAATTAGTTCTATTGTTACCAGGCATAAAGTATTTAGGGATGAGTTCAGTTGTTACCAGTTTTCACGTAATTGTTTTTACAAATCTATCCAAAAATCTGTTTAGATTTTTAGGACTAAAACCTTAAACAATGTTTATTCTCTCTCTCTTTTCTTTCTCCTCTGCCAATAAATACATTTGTTTCTACATTTTAAAAAGTGTCTTTCTGCACATAAGCATGACTGAGAAGCTGCTGAGAAAGCCACCAGCCAGGCTGAAAAAACTTAAAATCAAAAAGGAAATAAAAGATTTCCTGATGAAGGACATAGAAGAGAACATGCAGGCAGTGGAGGAGTGCAGGAAGGTAGCCCAGGTCTCTTGTGAGGGGCGCTGCCTCTGAAATGCGCACATCCTCTCCAGTCGCCAGCTTTAAGACAGATTGCGTGGATTGTATTAATTCTTTTAGTGATCTCTCTGCTTCCTATGCTGTATGTTTAGTTTTTTTAAGTTCTCTTTGTGTGGTGAAGAAATGCAGCACTATCCTGAAGTTGGTTGAATTACAGTTTCATCCCTGTAGCCTAAGGAAGCAATATCCACTTCTGAGAATTAAGTATGGTGTTTTTTTCCTATTAAAAAAAGAGAAACTTCAGTTGGGGCCAGGGGTGGCAGGAGGTCCCAGGTGGAGGATGGGAGATGAGAGGAGGCCGTGCAGACCCTCAGACAACTTGTGCATCATTTACACACACGTGGTGCCCATAAACCCTCTGTCTGCCCTTCTGCCGGAACCAGCCTTCACAGCTCTGGTCTGACAGCCTTTACTTCGGTGTCTCTACTTGGCTTCTCAGAGAGCAAGGACAGACCATAGCCCTGTGAGGGTATGTCGGGAGGGTGTCTGGAGGGTTTGGGGTGGGGGCTGGCGGCTGGCTCTGTCTTCAACAGTAATTACTCAACCTCTGCTTGTCGAATGATTGCATAATGAAATAGGGAAGCCAGGAATGTTCATTACAGGCAGTAGTAATGAGAACTTGGAGAAAAGTCACTCGGACTCGTTTTCACTCTTTAATACTGCTTTTCAGACTAAAGAAGAAGAAATAAGACAAAGGCTGCGGAGTGACCGACTTCTGCCATCGTTCAGATTCAGCTGAAGCGGGTGGGAAGGAGGCTCCGTTTGCCGAAGGACTTAAAACCGTGAGTTGTGCTGCGTTTGAACCCTCTGACCTGCCGGATGGAAAGCTGTTGAAATGATAGAATGATAGAAACTACAGGTACGAAGGTATCGGGGTCGTGGAGTCAGACATGTCTTACAACCAAGCAGATGACGTATTCTAATGAGCCGTTTTATGTGAATTTCGTGAAAAGGCATCCTTTCCCCCAGGTGTGACTTTCTTAGTATGTCTGGTGTTTTCTTTGACTGTCTGACCCCTCACCCACTGGGATGTGCCTTGGGTTTAGGAATGATTGTGAGAGCTGCCTGGGCTGGAGCTTAGCTGAGTAAACCAAATGGCCATGTTAGCTTAAAAAAAAGAAGAGGAAGCTTTGACTAGCTTTGGTTTTATAAAGTTGTCATTCTCCTTCAATGTGGCTTCCAACACGTGAAAATGTCTTTCATTTATGAGCACCTTTCAGCTTCCATTAATGTATTCGTGCCAAATGAAATCCTTCTTTTTGGTTCCTGCCTCTTGGCTGTGTCTGCCCTCCGAGGGTCCTTTAAGACAAATTGTATGGACTTGTGTTAAGTATTTGAATGATCTGTATGCTTCTTATGCTCTATGTTTAGGTGTGTTTTTTTCCTAATTCTCTTTGTGTTGTGTTGTGATTAAAGCAATATCCCGAAGTTGGTTGAATTATAGCTTCATCCATATAGCCTAAGGAAGCAATATCCACTTCTCAGAATTAAATGAAGTATGGAGTATTCTTCACATGAAAAATGAAAAAGTTATCAGGTCTTATGAGTCTACATTCTATGAAGATCTCTTGCATCCCTTTTCATACTTTCCCCTGTCACTACCTGTTCAGACCACCCCACCATTATTCAGTTATATTACTACAACAGTCTTCTTATTATTTATCCAACGGTCTTCTTTTTTATTTTTTGATATTTATTTCTTTATTTGGCTGCACCGGGTCTTAGTTGTGGCATGCGGGATCTTCATTGTGGCACGTGGAATCTAGTTCCCTGACCAGGGATCAAACTTCAGGCCCCCTGCATTGTGAACACAGAGTGTTAACTGCTGGACCACCAGGGAAGTCCCTATTCAATGGTCTTCTGCTGAAACCCTTTGTTGGCTCCCTTTTATGGTCAAGGTAAAGTCCAGCCGCCTTCTTCTGACTGGTAAGACTCTCAGCTTTCATAACTCACTCCTGCTGACCTTCTAGCTCGTCACACTCAGCACATTCCCTAGCTTCTGCGTCTTTGCACATGCTGTTCACTCCTTTCCCTCTCCCCTTCTCACTGCTTTACTTGCCTGATGCCTTCTTGTTTCTCACGTCTCCACTCAGACAGCACTTCCTCTGAAGCCCCTGGTCTGGGTTGGTGGCCCTCTCTCATAGTTGCCTTTTGGCAGCCCGGATTACTCAGTGTCACACTTGCCACCCTCTTTTGGAATTACCTGGTGCGTGTCCATCTTTACCGCTAGATGTGTCAGTTCTAACAGGACGGAGGATGGGTCTGTCTTGATCACGGTTGCAGTTTTGTACCTTGGAAAGTGAATGGCACATGATACATGGTGTGTAGATGTTTCTTCTGTGGATAAATCAGTATACCCATATATCCTCCAGAAGCTGGAGGACAGGCCCAGGAGATGTCTTGTTTCCCTGGGAACCCATGGCAGTGATGATTTGAGCAGAAGACCACTGGGCACCTCCTGTTTGTACATTCCCTTTGGGATGTTGCAAATGGACACCTCATCTTCCTATAGCTTGTAGGACTGAGGACTCCTGCGGCAGTGAGGTATGATGATGGTGGTGGTGGAGGGGGCTTCTTTCCAAACTCATTCCAGAACCAAAACCTTTAAGAACCAGTCTACTTCTTACAGCGGTACCTTGGAAAGTCCTTTAGGCTCCCTGGACCTCTTTTACCTTACAGTAAGTCCACTGCATATGAACCTTCTAGTTGAGAGCTTTCAAAGATGTGAACATGCGTTCCATCAGTGTCAGGAGTGAGTGAAATTGCAGCTTGCCCTCCATCTCCTGTTGCCGACGATCCTTCAGCTCTTTCACCTCCCACCTCCTCTCCCTCCTCCAGTCGGTAACTCTTCTTGCCTGTTTACTCGATGCCAGCCCCTGTATGCCAGCTGTTATACTATACTTCTCAAGGTACTGTACTGTAAGATTAAAAATGTTTTCTTTACTTTTTGTTGGTTTTTTATGGATTACTTGTGTGAAAAGTATTATAAACCTAGTAGAGTACAGTACAGTACTATTTAGCCTATTGTGTTAGTTGGGTACCTAGGCTAACTTTGTTGGACTTACAAACAAATTGGACTTATCAATCAATGCGCTCTCAGAACAGAACTCGTTCATATGTAGGGGACTTACTGTATGTGTTAATTTGGGATCGCCATTTTCCCAGAGTTATACCAAATGAAATAATGTTTAAAACTACTGTGCAAACTAGAATATGCCGCAATATTTATAGCATATTATTTATATAAAATCCTACGTTGACAACATGATGTTTTTCATCTGTCCATTGCTTTTTCTATGGAGATGATCTCGTAGTGGCATGTGCCAATCTTATGAAATATTAGATCAGATGATGATTTACTAGTACAAAATGATTGTACTGGGACACTTAGGAAAAGTTGGACTATCATTCAGATCTCTGCAAATAATAAAATTTAAATGACCAAAAGTACATTCAGCTCAAATTTTAGTGATTCTCGTAAGTTAAATCAATCCTCAAACTTGCTAAATACCCAAATAACACTTTCTCTTGAAATATTATGCTCTTGCCTATGCTATTTATAGTGGCTTGGAAGACATGTTTATTGAGTTAAAATATATACAATATAGATGTGAGCATTGTCACTGATACCCTGGCTTGAAAACCTCTCTCTCTATATATAGAGTGAAACATGCCAAGTAGTAACACACCCTAAACGATAAGCCATATATTTTCTTAGCAAGGCCATCCATTTTAACAGGATGGAGGGACGATGAGTTACCTGGATTCTGGGAACTGCCCTAAAACTCTAGGCGTGTTACTACTTGTAAAACCTTCTCAGGGTTTAGGGGTGAAGAGGAGGCTCAGAGACTGTAGGCATTTCCCACCTTCCCAGAGCCACTAGCATCAACTGAGCAGGAGGCTTGTTTTTGAATCCGCTCTGCCTCTAATGAGCTATTAACCCCATCTCTGCAAAATTTAAAAAACGAACAAACAACACAAAACAAAACCAACAACTTCAAATGTAAATGTGACTTTTTTCCATGATCAACTTTCTTTCTTTTTTAAAGATGATTCACACTGAACGTTAAAGGATTGAGATTTCTAAAATATTGCCTCTGGGAATAATGTTAATTTTATCTATTGAAATAACATAATTGGTTTTCTCATTCTTAAAACAAAGTTTTGAACATCACCAGCGTACTTCAATTAAAACCAAACCACAACCTTCAGGAAAGTTATGAGTCAGAAGAAGGGATTAGATAAACATCTTTGTAAGCATTTTAATTGAGGGCGGCTGAAAACATGCCTGTATTGATCTCCTTGTGAAAGATGGCCTTGCTGTGTCTAATAAAAGGTACTTTGATATCTAGTAAAAATCCCCCAGTTTTTCTGGGGGAAAAAAACTTACGGATAACATATTTATTTAAAATAATATTTAAAAGGTGTATTTAAAAATATTTCACATATATTTAAAAGATACACAATGTAAGATTCTTATGTTAACAAAAGAAATTTTGCAATCACAAGGACAAAAATAGAATTTATTATAGGGTGTTGGTATAGTGGCTACCAGTAATTTATGACTGTGCCTATTTCTGTCTTTGTTATTTCATTATCAATAAATAGCTCGTATTTGAAGGAGTAATTATACAGTAAATGCTGCATTCTAAAGATATATAATGCTACGGTGTGTCAGCAGATAGATCACTTTTGCACCCATATAACCTGTGTATACAGTGCCTTCCTATAGGATGGTGGAATTTTTGTCTCAGGAGATCGATAAAGGGCATTATTTTAAAATAAACAGTGGGAGATGACCCTTACGGTCTCTCTGTGTCCCTTGTATTTGCTTCTTAAAAATAATAGCCACCTCTTTGTTTTTATTTTTCTAAAGCCCGTAAGTAATATGTTATAGGAAATATGGACTGAAAAACATAAGAATCAAAAAACACCAAGAATCCAACATTTTCCCCTCCTACCAAGAAAACTACTGGGAACATTTTGCAGGCATTGTAGCTTTTTTCCTCGCATAAATGGACTGATACAACATAAACTGTTTTGTAACTTGCTTTTTTCACTCAAAAGTACAATATCTTTTCATGTAAATAAATCTGCCCCCCCAGTATCATTCTTGATGTAACATTGTTTAGTTTCCCTGTTATGTGTTTAGGGATTCTCATCCTTAAAGCCAGTCATAACACATTTCTGTTTCTGTTTTTTATAAGTTGGTGAGTAAAATAATTTGAACACTCCCCGTTTAACAACAGTCTTGAACCCCCGGGAAGGCAGACAGCTGCCATGCTTGCTTGTCCAGGACCCCGCTTTCCATTGCCCTTATTCTTTGTCCCTGTCCCTCAGAGGACAAATGACCAGTCTTGCAAATTCACCTCCAGACTCTTCTCCTGTTCGGGAAACTGTATTCACCTCATCACAGTTTGTATTCAGCACAATGAGATCTCAAGTATGCTTCAAAAGCCCACATGATAAAATTTTTTTAACATCTTTATTGGAGTATAATTGCTTTACAATGGTGTGTTAGTTTCTGCTTTATAACAGAGTGAATCAGTTATATCTGAGTTGGTTTTTCACTGATCAGGAATAAAGGCTACCTACATTTGCAAAGTGTTATTGACAGAAAAGTGTTTGCAGTTAAGGATCCGTAACCTTTTCTCTTGTCATTTAGAAATAAGAAATTACTGTCAGAAAAATTAAGCGATCAGCTATTTTAAGCACCAAATGCAGTCAGTCATTCTAAACATCAGGATCATGAAAGCAGTGATTCAATTCCTAGTCATTTCTAGTAATTGAAACATACATTTCCTCTCTGTGTAATACAGTTCAATTTCTGAACCAACCA